AGCTGGGTCGTCACATCCATGTGAGTAGCTAGGTGCGAGCTTAGTAGTAGTAGCAGTAGGTAGGTAGGTAGGTAGGTAGGTAGGTAGGTAGGTAGGTAGGTAGGTAGGTAGGTAGGTAGGTAGGTAGTAGTAGTAGTAGCAGGAGTAGTAGTAGTAGTAGTAGTAGTAGTAGTAGTAGTAGTAGTAGTAGTAGTAGTTACTAGTACGACTGCATGTCAGGAGCGCGAAGGATTCGACAGCCATGTCCTGGACTGCTTGAAGGCCGTGCATTCTGCGCCTGCCTAAACCCGAACCCTTCCCGGACATGGTAACAGCATGGATTGCAGTGAGACGACCGGCAGGCGACTCTGGCTGAGAAGCTGGACGAGATCCAGAAAGGCTTGGACGAGATCTCGGCCGAGGCGGTCTTCTGTCTTCTCTTGGCAGCCTTCCGTGTAGCATAGCGATTTCAGGATCACTCCCGTTGTTGCCCCGTCAAAACTTTATGGGAAGCCAAGCAAAGCATCGTGTTTGTGTACAGGTGGAAGCCAAGCTGCTGGCGACTCAGTGTACATTGTCTGCTGGTCACTGGAAATGCTCTCGGACTTGCAGCTGATCGGCTTGACATCAAGCGTTTCGGCGACCATGCAGGCCTGAGAAGACAGCGAAGGCTGAAGAGACCGCAAAGGCGCAGTAGATCTGAACGACAGTCATGTGTTGCTTGTCTTCTGACCATCTCACTCAGCTTCGGTCCCAGCAGCCTTCAATGCGTGGTGTGGCTCAAGCGGGAACCGAACACAGATAGACGCGCCCCCTGGGTGGCACCATGCAGGTGCGCGCTGGACGGCAGAAGTGCAGTCGTAGCGCCGGCGTTTCGAGAGCATCAGCCGAGGCCATCCTAAGGGGGCTTCTGCTGGTCTGGTCGGCTCTCGCCCAGGCCGGGGTCCTCCAGCCTTCCAGCTCCACTTCGTTCTGATCTGACTGTCGTCTCGTGACAGACTGCATAGGATGCCAGCTGCCCCGTGAACGCTGACGGCAGCAGTTCTTGTACCAGGCCCAGCAAGGCCCCTCGTGACACCTGATGTGCACGCTCCACTGCCAGCTGCTAGTATATCCTAAATACAATGTTCGTGTCGACAGGCAGATGCGAATCACACTTTGCGCTGTCGCGCACAAGGGTTTGACCCGGAAAAGCTGGGCTGCCAGACATGCCGCGTTTTGGAGCAGAGGCTGGGAGGGCAAGGCTCGCTCATCTCTCTTGCGTGTGCCTTTGTCGCGAAGAGGCTCAAGGAAAGCGGCGTGGCTTCCGCGACCCTGGCCGGGAACTGCCTTGAGTGCTGTGAAGAGGAGAGAGCTCGCTCCCTCCC